AAATAGATGGAGAATAAATTAAGAAAAAATACTTGGAAGTTCAGTTGTCTCTAAATAGATGGAGAATAAATTAAGAAAAAATACTTGGAAGTTAAGTTATCAAAGGCGACTGCAGGAATGAACTCTCATTGCAGGTACTTACACAAAAAGCGCACTGATATCCAAAGTTGCCGAATTTTTTTATTTCACTGGTTTTCCTAAAACTTATATTACTGTCAGATGCAAAAATCAGATTGGACAAATTTGGACATTTTTACTTACACTTATTTTAATTTTTTTTTTACATAGTAAGTTTATCTACAATCTATGATATTTCCATATAAATAATTATATTTTAGCTCATTTGTGGCACAGTGCAGCGGCAGGCCGTAGTTTGGTGACCCCTGCTCTATCATGAAACCTAAAACTTTTATATTTCCAGATTTCACACAATTATTTAATTATGTAAAACTCCCTCTAGTGAACAAAATATTAAAAACGTAGCATACAACACTATTTATACAAAGATTTAGAAATTGGAACAGAAGGATGAAAGAACACAGTATGACCATGGACTCTGTATTGTATCGTTTTTAAAATCTGATGGTGTCATAACTAGCCTTAGGTAACTCGAGGCACTACGGGGAAGAAAGTCAGTAAAGTGATTCTTAATATTAGTATTACTCACTATTAACTGGGTTACAGTTCTGTGTGTTGTGCTTTTGAGTGCACTGAATCTCAGGTAAATGTATTCGTACTTTTATTTTCGATTTGGAGAACGATTCTATGGTTAATTTTACAGAATAAAACTTAAAAATAAAAAGTTGAAAGTCAAGCATGAAGTCCAACTTTAACGTTGATTAAGTATTACTAATAGTAATGGTGTTAGAATAGAAGTAACAGTGATACTGTGAGTTACAATCTTCATTAACACTAAATACATTGAAAAAAAAAGGTTTAACAGATTGATTGAGCTAGGCCTAATAAATATAGGACGACCGTCTAATTCACCTCTACTACAGCAGTACTGGTCAGTCTAATAATAATAGTATTAACCGAATGGTATTTATTAGTTTCTGTATTATTATAGTAATACTGATAGGTTAGAAAACAAACCAACTTATCCCATCTGCAAAGACATTTTTTATTTCGAATAGAGTTGTTTAAACATTTGTTTAACAATAAGTAAAAGCTTGGAATGGTCTATTCTTTCATTGGGGCTGTTTATCTGTGAGCCAGACTAGTTTCGGATAACTCCACTCCTCATCAGTGATCCTGGACACTACCACCAATGAAATACTGGACCAAACCAAGCCTTTATAGTAGTGAGGTATCGAAAATCGAAATGATGTATTTAAGTGTTTTACGCTCACAACTAGAATGATAGGTTTCTTTTTGTTAGTGTAAAACACTTAAATACACCATTTTGATTTTATATTTCATTTATCAGAGGAATTGTAATTTATATACACTATAATACAGTGTTGTTTGTGTCGTAAGTTTACAGCATTATAACTGAGGCTAATGAATACAAATCAAATGACGAAAGTTAAATATGGGATACTTCACTGATTCATTGATAAAAAACAAAAGCTTATCTGGATACCGGAGTTACACAGTTTATGGTTTTGGATAACGGCACTGAAAATATAAAATCAACAATTTGTTATATAAAATGCTAAGGTGGCCACACATGTTCCTTCCAATTTGGGAACATTATAATTTTATATTGGGAGGGAGCTTAGAGTTTAGATTGAATAACGTCCTATGTTGAGACGTTTCAAAAGTGTACCAGTTCTTAAGATCACATGGTTTTCAGATGGAACTTAAATTTTAACGTGATCTGAAACTGATATTTTGGAAAGATACATATGATTTGACAAATATTTTGCAAATGACCTTCAATTGTACTTTATAGTAAGCAAAAGATAATTCATTTAAAGTATCAAAATTGGACCACAGATTTAATATTGAGAAAACGCACCCAAGCACAAAAGAAGGAAACGACTGGAGTGATGGTAAATATGACACTCAAGTCATCAAACCAGAGTTATGTTGCTAGAAGTAGTAGTAGCAAAGCTAAATAGAATTTTAGAGTGTACTTATCATCATATTGAATACAAGTCAAAAGAGATAATTATACTTATCACTAATTAGGCTTCACTTGGAATGTTGTGTATGTCTTTGATTTTCTTATTCAAAAATGATATTGCATTAATGAAAACGATTCATAAGAGGGATAATAGAATGAAACCGAGGATGTTTTTGTACTTACACTCACCACGTGTGTATTTGTATATGAGACTATGGTTCTTAACCTACAATCACCACATGTGTATTTGTATATGAGACTATGGTTCTTAACTTACAATCACCACATGTGTATTTGTATATGAGATTATGGTTATTAAGTTACAATCACCACATGTGTATTTGTGTATGAGACTATGATTCTTAACCTACAATCACCACATGTGTATTTGTATATGAGACTATGGTTATTAACTTACAATCACCACATGTGTATTTGTGTATGAGACTATGGTTATTAACTTACAATCACCACATGTGTATTTGTATATGAGACTATGGTTATTAACTTACAATCACCACATGTGTATTTGTATATGAGACTATCGTTATTAACTTACAATGACCACATGTGTATTTGTGTATGAGATTATGGTTCTTAACTTACAATCACCACATGTGTATTTGTATATGAGACTATCGTTATTAAGTTACACTCACTATTTGTGTATGAAACCATGATACACCGACATCAAATGCTATTATGATTATGTAAACTTAAATTGTTTTGTCCTGATCGTAAGAACTATAGCTTCAGGAACCCCAGACTTGTAGATTATAGTAAGTTTGAATGTTTTTTTTAACCCATATATCTGTTTATACTGTTTGTTTGTTTTATACAGATGAAGAACAATTTATAGCATGTGATGCTACAGTAACATTAAATAATGGTTTACATATATCCAAGTTGATTAGGAACAACATTAGAATAGATTTGACAACAAGCTAAGACTGGGTTAAATATTGGAAGGTTATTGGAGTCAAATTTTGCTGGATAAACATGGTATTATGTGATGGATTATAATTGTTACCTAGTTAGTAAATAACTTGGATCTTTTTTTTTCATTTATTGTTAGTTTACTGACTATTTATTAGTTAGCTCAGGTAAAGTTTTGTGTGATTGAAACTATAATATATATATTAAGGACAACAAGGGACCTATTGGTCCAATTAGGTCATCCCATCTACTAAACTTTATAATAAAACAAAACCAGCCTATGTCATCCCAAATATTTATTAAGCCTTTTCTTAAATTAACTGTATCCACCACATCTGAAGGCAACACGTTCCAAAGGTTAACCACCTTTTCAGAAAAATAAAGCTGTCTTAGCTGAAGATGACTCCTACTCTGCCAAAATTTCTATCTGTGATCCCTACTCCCATCATTCTCACCCTTAGGTATGAAAAAAAAAGATGATGCATCAACACTATCAATTCTCTTAATCTTAAACACCTTTTTTGGTAAGCAGAATTAGTACTGCTGGATGAACTGAAAGCTAGCTTACTGCACCCGATACAGAGGAAGCAATGGTTGACCAAACTCCAAAACAAAGAAAACACCTGGTGAAACTTCTACTGTTTGTTGTACTGTGTTCTTTGTAGTTTCGATTGATAATTCCAACTTTTGTGTACTTTTATCTGTGTCAGTGTAATAACCCTTGAAAAAGGTGTATGCCAAATTGTTGGGTTTTCTATTCATTTTTTTTTTTCCTGAGTTTGATTAGTCATTAGTTAAAGAAAATTCAGAGATTAGCTATGGTGAATTTTAAAAATGAACAGATATGTTTAGTTGTGCATTTTTCATTGTCTACTGGACATCCTAGAAAAAGTTAGTTATTGTTAGTTGAGTTTACTTACATGCTGGCATTGTATGTAATAAACCTGTATTGATGTATAGTACATAAACCATCGAGAGTGACAGAAATATACACAGTGTAGAGACGTAGTACTACAGTTATAATTCAACATAAAGCTAATAATATAACAATGTAAGAACAATTAGGGACCTGTTGGACAATCTGTTAAATTAAAGAAAACAACTAAAAAGAAACAGCCCTTATCATTCAAGTATTTATTACAGTCATTTAAATTTTCTGCTTGCACCACATCTGGAGGCAACCAATTCCAAAGGCCAACCACCCTCTTGGGAAAATAAAATTGTCTTGACTGAAGAAGACTCCTTCCTTGCCAACATTTATATTTTTGTTCCCTAGTCCTACTGTTCTTACCATTAATTACAAAACTTTCAATAAAAATCATGCAAAATGTATAAATAAATGGAGACAAATGATAAAACCTTCAATTATCATTCAAAATACCTCTGTAAACATGATCAGTTGTAAACAAAATTTCCACTGACTGAAACTTCAAATATTTCTGTAGCTGCTGTATTGAGTGATACGTTACAGCAGGGCCTGTATGTTATTTTACAAGTGACAACTGTTGTGCTAGTGGATTATTGTGGAATTTGATTACATTCAGTTTGTCCCATTGATCATTTTACAGGCTTAGGTGGTTAGATACAATGTTATGGGGAAACTTTGAATTCAACTCTAATCTATATGATTAAGGAATTCATACCTAGTAAAAATAAACAATTTGGCCTGTCGAAGTCTCTTCTCTACTCGCCAACAACAACAAAAGGAATGAATGCAGTCTTACATGTCTATCCAACTGAACTTTAAACAGGTGTGAGCTGGGTGATTAGCTTGATCAATCAATTAATTAAAATTATGATTAAATTATCAACTAAATAAAGTTAGTGATTCTGATTGTTTCAGCAATCCAAGTTATCAAAATATATTACCATTTAATTTTATTTGTCATTATTATATTCAATTTATTCAAGTCTATTAGTTTCATGGAAGTAATCAGTTAATCGAAATTAGTCTTTGCGATTGTTATTTTTAATTGTTTTATCTATCGAAATGATTAAAGTATTAGCATTGTTACTGTGTTAATTCTACTTGTGCACAAGTCACAAATGTGAGGATGTGGCCTAGTGGCCATTCGTTACATAACTATAATGATGCCTGCTGTTTGTGTTTACCTTGAATGTTTAAATACAAGTGTAACTTTAACTTATTATATTTCTTACTTATTACAAGTTACAAATGAAACCAGTGTTATTCGAGGTAGGATTGCTTTAATTAAAAAAAGCTATTCATTATTGTTTATTAACTCAAAAAATATTGATTGCTGAATATGATTATTTAACTATATACGTCAGAAATGACTAGACATGGGCTAGTAACAATAGGTAATATCATTACATTTACTTACATGAACAGGACTCCAATTTAATTACGACTAGCTCTAGCTAGATAGGAAGCACTAAAAAAAGAAACAAAAGTTTGTTGTCGCATACTCCCTAGTACGGTAAACTTTTAAGTTCTTTGATTTCTTAGCTTACATTTGTATTTACACAGTTCCTTCAGTCCGTATTGTAAATTGTAAACATATTAATAATTTTAATGTGTTCTTTTTAAACTTCCATCCATGCCAACAATTTCTCACTAAAAACTAGACTATTTTTGTTATTTATTAAGTCACTAATTATTTCTCAAAATTTTGTACTGATGATGGAATTAGAAAAATTACAAAACCTTCGTAAATAAACATTGATATCACATATATGTTTTTCCTAATAGTTTCCATCATATATATCATTTTAAGTTATGCAAAATGGTAATCTTGTATCATTACAAGTGTTCTTGAAAAATCGTAAATGTTGTGTAATGTTATTATTTTTCTAGAATCAGCCTAAATTTTATATTACCTATGACAATCTTTACTAGTTTTATCACGAAATGTAAGGAAATATTTTAAACAAAGAATAGGTTTGCTTAGCTTTAGTATTCTTGTGGAAACTTGTAAAAAAAAAACCCATGGAATGGTATTATTAATATTTTCAGCTTGTTACAGATTTTGTAGTAGGTTATTTAAATAATCAATTTTTGTGTATAATAGTTTAGAATTAAGAAGGTAAATTAATCGTAAGATATTGTTCTTGAAGATGGCTATCATACGAAATGAAAGGTAGTTTGAAAATGTATTAAACAAAAACAAACCAAAATAATCTTTGTCTTTCTTGTTTTTTCATCTTCTAAATTTTTGCTCGTGTTCTTTCGTGTAAACATGTTTTATTTACGGCACAACTAATCGATAAAAGTGTATTTGATTGTTTTCTTTGCATAGCTTAAAATGATTTATAAGGTGGAAACTATTATGAAAAACATATATATATATATATATGAAAACAATCTTTAATTACAAAGGTTTTGTAATTTTTCAAATTCCATCATCAGTATGAAAACTTGAAAAATAATTACCAATTTTATAAGTACCAAAAATGTCATGAACTTTTACAGTTGTATTTTGTTCTTTACCTGAAGTGGGTCTAAGTCTGAAACACTGTAAAATAAATCCATGTAGTAAGAATGTGAAAAGTATTTTTATTTACTTCTTTTTGTTGTTTAATTTTATTAATGAATTTTGCTCTTAAAAGAGCATTACCCTTGAATTATTCTTTCATAGGTCTTGGCGAGTTGGGATGCTTGGAAATAGTAATAATTGGAAAGTGTTTTTTGATTAATAGATTAATTTTGTGAGTTATAATACTAATCAATTATGGTGAACAACCTTGAATTAACTGAAATAATAATGGAAATATTTCGGGTACTTGGATAGTTTGAACAATCGAAAACAGTAATAATTGGAAACACTAATTTTGATTAGTTAATTGATACTTGTAAGTAACCAATTATATCAATTCACCAAGGTCTGTTTACAAGTGTAAAAGATGTTTACAAATAATGCAAAAATTTTAACTGGTTTTTTTAAATGGATTGGATAACGATATAGTAGACTGTATTTTCCTGAAACCAAACCTATGTGTAAAGTTTGTGAATCTGTTACAGTAATTCTTACAAATACAAATATTATTAGGCCTGTAGTATCTACATTTCTTTTCTGTTAAAGAGTTTAGCTTAAAAAACATCTATAACTAATTATTTTAAATGAAAACCATCATTCTATTAACTCTGGAGTGATCTGATTCTATTCTTCAAACTTAGGGTAACTCAAATGCAACTTGCTGCTCCAAATTTATTTTTTTAACAGGATGATTTGGTTATGTAATGAGTTGTCATTAACAGTAGTGTAATCCAACATTTGACAGGAGTTTTTAGAGGGGTAATTGTTGGTTTCCTGGAAAGTAAGTGATTGGCTTGTATTTTTGTTTTTCTGAAGAGTTGGTTTGTGAAAACATTCATAAAATATTAAAGGGACAAAAAGGAGCTTAATATCCCATCAAGGATGTCCCTTCCAGCTCCCAACTATAACTATCCCTTACTACTCATGTATTCATCTAATCTTTTCTTGAACTCAGTTAAATTTTCTGCTTCCACCACCCTTGAAGGAAGCTCATTCCAAAAGCCAACCACCCTATTTGAAAAGTAATACTGTCTAAATTGCAGATTACTCCTATGCTGCCAAAATTTGAAATTATGATCCCTTGTCCTATTGTTTTCCTATTGTATAGTTTGGTGGATCTATATAAATACCCTTAATAATCCTAAACACTTCAATCAATCATCTCTACCTCTTCTCCTCTCCAGAGAAACCAAGTTTAGAGATGTTAGTCTCTCCTCATAGGACAATCTCACCATCCCAGGTATCATCCTAGTGGCTTTTCTCTGATTCTTCTCCAACAATTTAATGTCCTTCTTGAGGAAAGGAATCCAAAACTGTATACAGTATTCTAAATGAGGCCTTACAAGTGATCTATACAGTGAAACAATAATATCCCTTGTTTTGTATTTAGTATTTGTATAGATGCTACCCAAAATC